TACCACTTATTTTGTTTTCGATACGATACCGATATTTTTCAAGGCAGTATCGTCGATTTTTTACATTCAATACGCCTTAATTGTAACTTATTAGGTTATATTTTTGTTTAGACATGGTTCAAATATGTTTTTTGTTTACACATGATCCAAATCTATAAATACTTCAGTTGAACTATGGTCACTTTAGTAAAACCATGGTTCATTTTCATAAGGGACTGCCAGTGACAGGCTGTTACATGCATAAAATGCAACCTTTTTATTCTGACAGTGTATGATTTCTATTAACATTACAGAATAGAACATGATCAATATTATCTTTCAACGTTCAATTTAAATAACTGTAATTGCACAAACTATGTAGGCTACAATTTCAGTTTGTTTATTGTGAAATAACTCTGTCCTTCTGTCCTCTGATAAGCATTGTTCAGGGCTGCCGTTCCCAAAAGCTTTAATGCTTTCTTATGATACTTTTGGGAAAAGCAGCTCTGTTTGAATGCACTGTCAGAAGCGAGTGAACGCTCTCTGTGATTGATTGGTTCTGTCTTCCAACATTTGCGTGTTCAGATGAGCAGGAAAATAGTTCTATCCTACACAATTACTCACTAACAAAGGTTATTCGTCCAATTCAATGCATATTGTACGCATTATTTTTTTGTTTTGTTGTTAAATTAACAAAATCACTGGTAAATAAAACACACCTTAATATCGATATTTTTTTAGTTTGAGTATCGATACTTTCGATACTCGCGTCAGTATCAATATATCGATACTTTGGATCGATACGCCCATCCCTAGTTGTAAGCATTTGCGGCGTGTTTTGCATTTGATTGTGTTGCGAGTATTTGCATCACATGTGCTGTCAAATTGATGAAGATGTTTTCTTAATTTGCTGGTGCTTTTTCTATTTGAATGTGTTTTCTGTAGTTGCAGCACGTTGAGCTCTCTCGGCCACCGTAGGATTTCTTTTAAAAATAATTTATGTACGGAATGACAGAATGTTGCTTGTAAACTTCACTTGCATGGCAATGTTAAGACAGACAGAGTTTATTTTCAGCTCACAATCTGATAGCTGCACACAGTACCCCTTAAAAGATCAGATAGGGTGAGCATAATATATCAAAAATAAATAAATAAAAGGGACAGTCATGTGAAAATTGTATATAACAACAATAATAACTAAATAGGCGTACATTTATCTATATTTGTCTATACAAGGAAGCACATAGGATATCTGTTTAATGTATCATACTGGTGTGATACGTTTTGGCTTGATGATGCACAAGCTGTCTAAATGATTTGCAGCTCTGCAGACCTGTGCTATTGCAGATAGTGTCATAACCCTGAATCCATCTGCTCATTTTACACTTTAAGGTTATAAATAGCAATCCAGACCAGTGCAGCTGACCTTTCTTTAGATTGCAGGATATAGAATTGACTGTATCTGTCCACACTGTGCTTTCGTTGGACTGCTTTATTTTAAATTGCATGGAGTCAATGTTCTGTGGCATGAATATATTCTGTGGCATCAATCATATATTTAGCACACAAAGTTTGCAACATTTTTTCCTTCTCAAGGCCATTGAAAAGACCACTGTGACCTTAATATAATATATCTCGCTAAACCGGTCTTTGTCTCCTGCTGTAGAAACATCTGGAAGTTGAGTCACTCTAGAGAGGTTGTGACATACAAAACAAGCTGATAAACACAAGGAAGTTTTCAAATCGATCTGGCTTCATATTCCAGGCCATAATGGCTTAAGTGTGAAACGTGCACGTTTATACGTCCTGCAGTAATGATTTTGTCTATTTGAAGCTTTAGTTTTATTGGCAGTAGGTCTTAATATTTAACCTGATAGCATTACCCCTGCTAGTCAATAAATAAACCCAATAATGACCTTTCATGCCTTTTGGACAGAGTCTAAAAAAACTCAAGCTGTTCAGTAAGTTTCCACACTCTGGAATGTAACCTCAAAAAATACAGTCTTAAATTATTTACGAAAAAAACTGTTTTGAATGAATATGAAACCAAAGTGATAATTACATACAGTGGTGTGAAAAAGTGTTGGCCCCCTTCCTGATTTCTTATTTTTTTGCATGTTTGTCACACTTTAATATTTCAGATCATCAAACAAATTTAAATATTAGTCAAAGATATTCAATTGATTCGTTTGAACAGCTGATTCATTCAGGAATTAAATCTTCATGTATGGGTAATCATGAATCACCGACTAACTAGATTCGTTCAAAAACGCACTTTCCTTCATGAATGAAACTCGACTGTGTTTGCTTTTAGAGATGCGCAGCGGCTCAGCTGTTACTATATTTGGAACTATTTTCGTTGATGCAATATATACAATAAGACAATAAGGATGTTTGCGGGAGCGTGACACACATGTTGCGGGAGTGGGCGGTAATGCTCAGAAATTCAGCGGGAGCGGGTTTAAGAAAACTGTCCCGCTCAAGTCTCTAAGCTGCGCATCAACGATCAACACACAAGGTTTTTTTCGCGCTCCTCCATCTCCACCCCCAATCATTAGTGCCGCTTGTTCGGTCTTTGACAGAACATATGGGACAAATTTTTAAATAGCGCCATAAACAACATTTATTTCAAATTTAATTCAAGGACATATGTTTGTTTTCAAGTACTTTCCAGGCCTTGAATCCATATGTCTGAAATTCAAGTACTTTCAAGTACTTTCAAGAAGCGTGGGAACCCTGTTTGGATTTCGTTTTCCCTTAATAATAAAAACCTTCATTTAAAAACTGCATGTTGTGTTCACTTGTGTTATCTTGAACTAATATTTACATTTGTTTGATGATCTGAAACATTAAAGTGTGACAAACATGCAAAAAAATAAGAAATCAGGAAGGGGGCCAACACTTTTTCACACCACTGTATCTTACTCGAGCAGTTTTAAGTTGCTATAGGGCTGAAGGTTGGAATGCCGTTTTCTGTAAGGATTCTTGAGGAGTGACTTGTTTGTCAGGACGAGTCTGGGAAGATTAGCACAGCTGTGAAATCTCAGTGATTCTTGTTTGTACAGTCACCGCTGGGTCAGTGCCCCACTGATTGGAGCACTACCAAGCCCTTACTGCTATTTGGAAAATGAAAGGTTTTTATATTTGTCACATTTCTATCTCCAGTAAAGATGTATTAAATTGATTAAAATAGCAACAAAGACATTTGTTACAAACGTAAATGTATTTTTTACCTTTCTATTAATCAAAGAATTCTGAGAAAAACGTTATCAGTTTCCACAAAAACATTAGGTAGCGCAACTGTTTTCAAAATTGATAATGAGAAATGTTTCACCAAATGGGAGCACAAAATCAGTGTATTATTAGAACGATTTCTAAAGGACTGGAATAATGGCTGCTGAAAAATCAGCTTTGCCATCACAGGATTAAGTAACATTTTAAACATATATTTTAAAAAAGAAAAGTTATTTTAAATTGTAATATTTCACAAAATTGCTGTTTTACAGTATTTATGATCAAAATAAATACAGCCTTGGTGCATTTTCTTTCAAAAACATACACAGATCTAACATTTAAATTACATTATTAAATTATACATAGGCCTACATAAATATTAAATATTAATAAAAAAAAAATCTGCTTCAAGACAACAAAATGATTTAAAATACTTTATTTCAACAACAACCATAAAAACAAAAACCCCACCAACTGGAAGAGAGAGAGAGAGAAAAAAAAAGTACATTCTCATAAAAGGACATTTGTTGACAAATTCACTTGCTCCAGTTGAGTACAGCATTAGGTATTCTGTCTGTTGGACAAATTAACTAGTTTCCAAGCATCTCTATAATATTCATTAATGATTGAAAACTACTACCACCGTATTCTAAAGAACTGCAACTGCTACAGATTTGGTTGGAACACTGAAGTGCATTTATGTATCCTTTCTAGATCTACTTTATAAGAATCTAAAGAAAACCTAATCTGTTGAACATCAGCATTATTCGCACACCCATGCAGAAAAACTGACATACATATAAAGTCTTTTAAGTTTTAGCCATAAATGAGAGTAAGAGAAAACTGATTGTGCCAATCACATCAATAAGAACCCAAGGGGATCTTTGGCATCAGCTTTTTCAACACATTTTTATTGCCAAGACAATAAAATCATTTTATTGTTTGACTGCATGACCACATGAATATGCCACATTCTGATTCTCACATTCTTAATTGATGCCATTCAAATCGCTTTAAATGACAGGCAGGGTCACAAGCATAACAAACAGAATCATTCCATTTTGTTCCAGGATATCCAATAAACCAGTTCCTCAAAATGAGAGGTAGAGGAGGCATGCCCAAACGAAATCACCTCCACAAAACCTCACTATGCCTCACTGTTAAAACGCACATGGCTGTCGAATGTCAAAGTGTTAACAGACTGAGGTTTGATTGTGAGTTAGGTGGCGAGATAATGGTTAGGACTAGGCAATGTGTCAGACTGGGTAAAAGTGCCATATTTCATAGCAGATACAGCAAGTGGAAGTCGGTGGCAATTTGTTTGGAATGAGAAATCAAGGATGTGGCATCAGTTTCACTGCTGGTTAGGTAAAATCTCATCAAACTGGCTGGCAGTTTCTCCTCGAAGCAAACTTTTGGTGTCATTCCCCTACAAAACATCATCACCATCGCACAAGAGAAAAGACCATGTACAGAGCAGACTTTCAATACAAGCGTTATAAAATGATTAATGAGAAGCACGGAAAAAAATTTAAGCTACATATATATATTTATACAAACATATGTATATATATATACACGCTCAACAAAACGTGCCTTAAATCGCTGTACAGGTAAAAAATATACAATTTGTGGAGGAAACAAATTAGCCCATGTGTTACTGTAGTTTTAGGTTTGTGATGAAGGCCGTTACTGAAGCAGCATAAGCGTGTGGATGTTTATTTTCTCTAAAGAGGCACGTAAAGGGGAGGCACTGCCCATGTCCCTGAACTACCCAACTCTATTCCGCCCATCACATGCACGCGCACATACACACTTTCACATTGTCACTTCCCTTCAATCCCTCTCACAGCAAGAACGGAAAAAGAAAACACTGCAGAACATTCAGGAGATAATCCCCCATCACATCGCTTTAAACTCAGTGCAGGAATACCTTGAACTGAGCCAGAGAAAGCACCACTTTCACCCATCATTTACCAACTCTAAGGTGCTGTACAAGCTGTGCCAGACAAAAAAAAAAAGGGAGGTTCAAAAGGACAAACTGTGGTTCGCTGATCTATTAAGGCTGTCTGAAGGCCACTACCTGATATGGCCTTAAAAAAATATATATACACTGAACAAATATTGAAATACACTTGCAACTGGGAAAACTAAACTTTAAAAAAAAAATTAGAAAAAAAAAAATTAATACAAAAAGAACCAACCTCGCCTTCATGAAGGGTTTGGTTTGAGCAGAAAAAATATTTTTGTCTTAAAAAAACAACACAAAAACCCCACACATTTCATTTGGTTTCACAGTGCTGTGTTTTACATTCCAACTTAAAGCGTCTTGTATGCCAGGTAGTCTTGCATGGAGAAAGGAATGGGCAGCGTATAAACCTGCTGGGTGGGCATGACTCGCCGCAGGGTCAGGCGGCACAGGTGCTGGAGGCTCGCAATTCTGCGTGGAGAAGCCCAGAAATGCACGCTGCCGTCACGAGACCTGTGAGAAGACAAACGGATGCCATTCAGTTTATTTAACTTGCCACTGACTAAAACTGACTATAAAAAAAACTAAACTATATCATGATCAAATGTCATCTTGAACAGGGTCTGGTTGTGTTTGTACAGTACAACTCGCCAATTCAGCTTTGTCAGACTGCTGTCATGCAGAAAAGTATGTTGGTTTACACCCTGTATGTGGGACAACCAACTTATCTAAATTTCATATGCAAAGGAAGCTGCAGAACCGGTTTAGTGTATTTGTTTTATAATAGATCGTTCAGGATACTTTTGAACAAAGTGTGATGTAAGTTATTTTTGGCTTCGTTTCAAAACAGAAGAAAAGTTAGAAGCCAAGATACAGATTTGATTATTTATGTAGTAACACTACCCAGCAAACAATGGAGTAACAGATTCGTACCCGGCAGCTAAGACACTTCCGTCAGTAGAAAAGGCACAACAGAGGCCGTTAGTGAGAGGGGCGACGGCTTGAGGACTCTTCTCACTGATACTCCAGAAACGCACCAGCCTGAAAAATGAAAATACAAGCTGATTGTTTTATTTACCACTGTGTTGCAACTGTAATTCAATTAGTGATTTCAGACACTACCATTAAAGTTTAACACCAAGTTTTGGGTCAGTAAGACTTTTAAAGAAATTAATACTTTTATTCAGCAAGGACACATTAAATTGATAAAAAAAAGTGACAGTAAAGCATTAATAATGTTGCATCTTGTAGAATGTAAAATGTTACAAATAAATGCTGTTTTTCTGAACTATTTCTAAGAATAAAAAAAGTATCACAGTTTACAAAGAAAAAAAAAAAAAAAGTATCACAGTTTGCAAAAAAATATTAAGCAGCACAACTGAGTTTAACAGTGATGATAAAAATGTTTCCTGAGCACCAAATCAGCATGTTAGAATTAAGGATGCACCATAATAAAAATTCTGGGCCGAAACTGAAAATTCTGGATGCAATTGGCTGAAAACCAAAAACATTTATTAAATAATATAAAATAATTTAAGAATTTTAAATTTAACTCAACTTTAACGACACTGAATTAAAAAAAATACAAGCCAATAAAATAACCACACTTTTATTGAAAGTAAAACAATAAAATTTGACAGAAAATATATTAATATTAAATATAAATATATTATTTTTATTCAGTTCTATGCAACAGAATCAGATTGAACTGAATTTTTTGTGTGTAATTATCAAAATAATGTATAGTCCTACAAAGCTATTATCAGAGCATGTGAGCAGAGCACAGTGTCATGAGAGGGTAGCGTCATTTTACCAGAGTTGCCCAGTACAGCTGTACTACACCATGTTTCAGCACAGTAGTGCTATTCCAAACAGGAACAAGTATACTACAAAGAAATTTCCTGTTGGCACGTTATTTGAGCAGACTTTGCTTTTCCGGTGAGCATGAGCAGTACATTTATAGAGTGCAGCACGTCATTTTCTATTTCGGCCAAAAACCGAAACGTAATTTTTGGCGGCCGAAGTTTTGGTACATCCGTAGTTAAAATGATTTCTGAAGGATCATGTGACACTAAAGACTGGAGTAATGGCTGATGAAAATTCAGCTTTGCCATCACAAGAACAAATTACATTTCAAAATAATTTAAAATAGAAAAGTCATTTTAAATTGTAACAATATTTCAGAATATTTCTGTATTTTTGCTCAAATAAAAGTAGCCTTGGTGAGCATGAGAGAACAGTCATTTCATTTGTACATAAAAGCAAAACAAATCTTATGCAGAGCAATGTAACTTCTCCATGTCCACCATTTTGTAGAGCACAGATGGTTTCATTGTCTCAGTATGAGAGCAGGAGGCGTGGCGAAGGCAAGCTGGGCGCCTCATAGTGATTAATGGACATCATATGAGGGGCATGTGATCTTTCCCAGAAAGAGGCCCTGCGGCAAATCACACACTCCTTCTTAGAGCCGCTTAATGCAGGCTACTAACTGCAACACAAACGATCAATATCGAGTTTTCAAAAGCAAATAACCAAGTGTTTGCTTTATCTTACCTGTCATCAGTGACGCTGGCAATGTGCCAACCGTCGTGACAAAAGGCAACGGAACGAACCCATCGATCATTTGCTCCTCCTGCAAATATGGGTGAGGGAGGAGGGAAGAGATGCCTGAAGGGAAGATAAGAGATCAGTTAAACAACATGAACTTGAGAGAGAAACCACACGGAGCAGAAAAGGCTAGAAACAGAGAAATTAACTGGAAAAAGGGGGG